TCTGATGTTTTATGTCAATAAAAATATGACAGTTCATCCTAATTTTAATCTCTTCTTTATTGTTAGCTTTTAAGAAATTTGCTTCTTATTTGCATTTTGTTCTCTTTCTGTCAGTAGATGATATTAAGGATTTGGTTTTTATTATTTAACCATACTCTCCAATTTCTTTCTGTTGCTTCTCATGTAGGCACATGTTTCTTTTTCATTCTTGCAGCAGATATTAAGATGTGTAGTGCTTCAAGTGAACTAATATTTTGTGGATTTTTGTTTGCTATTGATTTCTTTTTAAATTATAATCCTGCTTAGTGTTAAGATTTATGCGCTGTTTATGTCTGGTAATTAATAATAAAAAAAAACTATGTATTTTCATCATTTTGTGTACATTTTAACCATACAATTATTTTTGTATGCGAATAAATTTGTATTTATTGACTTTTCTTTACACCCAATTATCCCTAAAGTATATATGCTATGCTGAATGCATTATTTCAGATTCAAAATGTATACACAGAGAGATGCATATCACACTATGATGATAACAAAAGTGGTAATTTAATAACATTGACATCAAATATCACCTATCTAAGACAACCACTTCCATAGAAAATTTTTTGTAGCAGCTGTGTCTGACTGTCTTACAGAAGGTTCACTGTATTTTGTGATTTAGAATTAACTCGTTGTAATACTGATGCAATTTAAGGTTACTAATATGTGCATTCAGCTGTTTTTCTTTATTAGTTCAAACAACCCATGTTATTGATCAAAAAGCAATACCTTATCGTTAGTCATATTATAAAAATTAAAAAATGGCTTTTGGAAATTTTCCTCCTTATGCAATGATTTCCAGTTTGGTAAAAAAGCTTTCATAAGTTGATCTTACTATGGGCACGTATTGAATTTTATTTAGTGTTAAAAATCATTTCTATGGTATATGTACATATTTTTACAGTTTTTAAAATACTTCAGAAATTCATTATCTCATGCCACAAGGCATGCATAAAATAAGCTTATTTCCTTGTACTATTATTAAGCTGTCCAGAAGAAGCCTTTTTTTGACAATGGATCACTGAAAGTTATGCTGTATCTTTCTGTTAATTAGAAAATAATTTTGGATAATAAAATAAATGTATTAGAAAAATATTATATTAAAATGATATTTTTAAAACACATAATTAAATTAATGTATTAGAAATCTGTAATTTAAAGCAAACCTTCGTTCTTCAACTACATATTCATTTCCGATACCCAAAGGCTAATTCCATCATAATAACTTGTATTTTAACTCGTCATTATTCAGCAAAACTTTTTGATTAAAAAATTCTGTATTCGTCCTTTGTGATAAAAGCCCAAGATACGAACCTCCACCATCTGCAAAATGCATGGCTCTCTTTGTACAGGATCTCTGTGGCTGTTACTGGAAGCCTAGAGTATGTTCAAGCAGTAGTAAATAGGCTTCCTTATTCTCTGTTTATTTAGTGTGTGATATATTTGTTTGTGTGTGTTTATTTGATAGTGTGTCTGTATAAATACTTTTGTCTGCCATTGGAAATAAAAATATATGCATTACAAATCCGAGTTATTAAGTATATTAAGGCTGTTTACATTTTTCATTCCAAAACATATATTCAATTAAAATACATTATGCAATTTGTGTTCATCTACATTTGTTAATGTTTAATTAATGCCAACAGAAACATGTTCGCATAAATTCCTCTAAGTAATTTAAACATGAGGTTGTTTAAGAAGGCCATTTTTTATCCATTCATTTATTGAAATATTTGCATTACTTCTTATATATTAAAATTTACATATATTATGTACTTTTTTCAGTAGACAATCCAAGAATATTCTATATGTTAAAATGTATGGTATATGCAATAATTCCCCCCCCCCCCAAAAAAAAAAAAGAAAAAAAAAAAAAAACTTATCCTCTATTTGTGATCTTATTATCTGATTGTGTCTTCTTCAAAATACACAAATAATCTGATGGAATGAAAATATTTTGGTCATTAAAACTTTTTAATCACTGCTCTTTACATCTACATTTCTTTTTTCACATAATCTGAAGTTTTCGAGTAGTCTGAAGGTTTTCAAACTGTGTTTCACAGAAATTTTAGATACCATGCAACTCCTCTAGGGCATCTGTAAGTCAAAATTTAAAACAATTTTTAATATCACTGGACATCAAAATGAAATACTTGAAATAATCTTTGAAATTCTCTTATTATTGTTAAAAAATATTAAGCAGATTTTTGTTTATGATTAAATTTATAATGAAATAATGAATTTCTTTTTACTTTCTGCATAAAATGCACAAATTTTATATTTCAATTCTTTAACATTTATTTTTCTGAGGATAGAAATTCTTCTATAGAAAAAATTACGATTTTAGAAGTTTTTCTGAATTTAAAGATTTGAAGACAACCCTGTTATAAGGGTTTACGATTATAATGTGAATGACCCAAATAATTGTAAATGGCCTATGGCCATACTTAATACACATATTATTTAAATTGACATGCTTTACCTGTAATGTACATTTGTGACTTATGTTATAATTTAAGTGCACCAGTTTACTCACACTTATCTGTATTGTATGTATGTATTATATGCATCTCTAGACTCAGGTTAAAGCTAGCTCGTTTCCCCTTTCTCAGCTTTCCCAGATGACATTTTTGGGTCTTTACTGGAACTCGACGCACACTTTATTTCGGCTAGAATAACCACTTATCTCACTCTTCTTTTATTCAAAAATTATAACATACTAATTTGGGGAAAAAATTATATTTTATGTTAGTTACTCATGACAACATTCGAAACAACCTACATGTTCGACAAGGGGTAGGGGTCTAGGAAAGCCACAACTTTTTCAATGAACTGGATGAATAAATGCAGCCCTGCCTTTTGTTGTGTTTTATGCATTTATAAATTTCTACCTGACTGTTTATTCTTTAATTCTATATAACACAATTAATCGATGCTTGTTTCTTGTATGGAATTTTAACATTAATTCTACATAATAACATGAGTAATCTTTTTTTTTTTTTTAAATTGTATTTTAGCATTATTAAAAAACACTTTGGCACTATGAACTGAGAATATCTGTCAATCTGTCTTCTACGTTAATTTACAATAATATAAATGTGAATATCTGAATGGAGTTATATTGAAAGATCTACTGGATGCTATGATTCCATGATGGTCAATCCACCACATTGGAAATATTAAATCAAACAATAAGTACAGGAAAAGATTCAGCAAGACAATATATCCTCTTTTGAATGAATACATTTAACTGTAGTTATTCCATATGATGTATTATACAACACCCCAAAATCATGGAAAATAACTTTCTAAACCGAGTTTACAGTGTAAAAAAAGTAGTGGAAAAATGTTGTAGTCATGTAACTGGGCTATCTAACATAAAAATTACAGCATATTACACCAGTGTTCTTACCTTTACTGCATATTACAACCAAATAACTACAATTAGATATGAGAAAGAACAGGCAGTGTCAGTACAACCAAGAGTAAAACTTTTACAGAGTTGCTAATTTGAAAACAAGTGAACCTGTAAAACTAACCCTGCATACTGGTTTGCTTTAGATGCATTTGGTAACCAATATGCCGTAAGTCTTTACCAGATTCAGTTTTGAGTGCATTAAATACTATATTGCTCATATGTCTTGATCGTGACAATCAATGCAGCTGCAGCATTATTGAATAGAAATAAGTTATATGACTCTCAAATAAGTGTTTGTAAAGTTGTTCAGGAAATAAATATTACTAAATAATAACATGTATTATGTTTATTGAATTGTACAAAACTTATATGTTATACTTTGAATTATCGTCAATTTTAATTGTCTGAAATCTGGTATTTGATAGTATATAGTTGTAGCAGTTTTTTCACTATAAATTCTGAAGAATCCGAAAATAAATGCACATACTAAAGTATTTCAAGTATGATAATATTCAGTATTTAAGATTATCCTAAAAGTATGAAATTTATTATTTTATTTGAAAATAAGTATTAGTGTATCCATGGCATGCAGGTCCCCGAGATTACTCTATTATCCACTCATAGGTGGGGGTGTCACCTTTGCCAAAGGCTCTTTCTAGCCTGCTTTAGGTTTTATACTAATTTTAATTACTGGCCATCTACTGAAATGGTTTCTTTATGTATATCCACCTTTATTCCAACTCTGGTATTTCTACGGCGATGGAGGTTTAGTTGACCATACTTCTTGACAATTCTTTTACTTTTTTTTTAGTTTAATTTTTTTTTCAATTTGAAGCGGTAGACCAGTATTTTCATCTCGGATAACTGTTTTTGAAGCAGACTCGAAAATCTGCTTCAAAGAGTTGGCTACATTGTGTAAATTTTCGCTATCTAAATTCCAAAGGAGTGACCGAATTGATCTGTAATTTGCATCGCACTCATTGATCAAATTTCTTTTTTTACTCAACGTTGCTTCTTCAGATATGGTGGGTAAATTATCTGATGTTCCACCTGAAGGAGTTTCAGTTGATGAATATTTTCGTTTTCTGGTGCCTGAAATACTTCTTGAGACTAAATCTTCATCAACTTTGAAAATAGGTGTTGAAAATAGCCATTCTGCAGTACATTCCAAACTCCAGGCTGGAAACTTCATGCCAGCAAACACAATATGCTTGCACAGCAGTCGGTTTCTTCTGAAATCTAAGCATGTGCATTGACACAGTTGTTTCTGTTCATCAAACGTGACAGAATAAACTGCATCATGCTTAGTTTCAGAAGAAACTTTAAAGAAGCCATGTGAAATTTTTTTTTATACTACCCACATAAACTTCAGCAGCTCTTAATTTTGTTTTTATGTGATCAATTAACCATTTTGGCTTATTGATTAAATAATTTGGTACATGTTCATTGTATAATCTGGCCTGCGAAAGCATACTCAGATTTTTTCTGACGTAAATTCTATATCTTTCTGGCAGAAATTTCTCAACCAAGATCTTAATTATTTCAGACAGCATACAGTTTTTATATCCCTGAAGATATCTATATATTTTAGTTCCTCATTTAAGCGTTCAACACCATTGTTCGAGTTTATGAATAAGTCATTTGGTTTGTAAGCCAAAGCCCATCTCTCAATTTCCTTGAACCATGTTAATTCAAAATAATCTTTCACAGCTTCATATTGGTTCCATGATTTTAATACCTCTATTGCTGCAACCATTTCATCTTGAGTTGGAGCATTTGCTATGGCACGTAATTTACACAAAAGCTCTTCTTTGGGAACCACTGCATTCTTTTTCTTAGAAGCCCATCTTGACCATGCCTGCTCTCGATGGAAACTACATATAAAAACCTTAATTCCTGTAAAGACATTTTCCAAACTTGTAATTTCTTCCATTGCAAAATCAACCATCCCATATTTTGGTCTAACGAGAGGCGACCAATTTTTAATAATTATAAGAGCTTCTTCTAATGCTTTGGCTGTTTCATTTTGTGTAATTATTATGCTCACTATTTGATAGTTCACATTTGTTTTGACAACTAAAAAATAAAGTGGGAGAGCATACTTACAGGTTCGATAGGTCGCGTCGAGAAGAACAAGATTAGAACCATATAAGACATATAAATTTTTCATTTCTTCACTTTGATATACAAATAGCAGATTTAGTTTTGAATCTGTAAAGTCATTTGGCTCAGTACCATCATATGTATTTTCAGTACATGGTCTAAAAAAAACAGAACACTTGGAAGTATCCCAGCTATTTATTAACATTTCTGTATTTTCCTGGTCAATTTTACTAGTTCTAATATCGGATTTTGCTTGGCTTATTATTTTCCTTATTGCCTCCATTTCTGGATAAAATCGTCTGCGCGTTTTATCAGTTTCTCCCAATTCAGTTGAAACGTATACTTCTAATAGCTCTGCAATTACAGTGGCATTGCATTTTCCATTCTTAACTTTAGAAGCTATGAAATGCCGCACTCTAGCATCTATAGGTTCTATTACTGCAGCCATGTTACCCATTAGATGATTTTGATGATCTTGGCTATTAGGTAAATTAAACATGAAAACTTCTTCACCAGCAATACTATCTTTATTGGCTAGTTTTTCCTTAATTTTCCGAGATATCATAATCTTTCTTTTTCGGGTTGGCACTACCTGTAATTTAAACATATTTATCACAGTAAAATTTAGAAATTCCAGCACAGTCATCTAAAACTAATTATTGATAAAGGTTCAATTTTAAAAACTTTCTGTTCATAGCAAATTATTAAAAAAAAAAAAAAAAAAAAAAAAAAGAGGAGTCATTTCTCATTTCTTTCCTTTAAAAAAAGCTGTAAAAAGGATCTTCCATTTTTATAACAATAGATCAAATTACTTCTTCAAAGAAACATAACCAATAAAACTTCACTTTGAACAACTTATTTCTATTTGTAGCAAATTGGTTAGAATATAATTAGCATAAAAAGCCTTTATTTATTTCTGGCCTGAAAACATCATTTTATTTGCATGTCAATTACTGAATTATTTATTTAGGAAAATATTACTGTTAAAAACCCTCTTTTGGCCAAAAAAAAAAAAAAAAAAAAAAAAAAAAACTATTTAGAAAAATATGTTGAATAAAGAGACACAAAAAATCATTTCTCTTTTTTTACATTGTGACTCTAAAAATACCTTTTGTTTTTTATGTCAAAAAGTATGTATACTTTATCATAGAATACCTTCAATACATCTTGCTCATACGTGACAGAATTATATTTTTTCCTTAAAAAAAAATTCTCTAAAATTACTAAGACCATCTTAGAACAAAAAGTTAAATAAACTTCTACCTTGAACTGAGGCATCCTGTACATTCGGGTAACATTAATTACAGCTGGACAATTAACTTTTTTAGTTGTCTGGTTCTTGGAATATGCTTTACCAAAAGCATGATCAGTTTGACACTAAAAGAAAAAAAAATAAAAAACACACACACACACACATATATATATATATAATCCAAGAGGTGATATTTTTGTATAAATTTTTAAATATAACAATGTTATTTTACCTTTTCATTTTTTTTTCTTTAGCATAATTTTCCTTTTGACGTTTATTCAGATCTTTTCCTTGATGGCAAACATAGGTTTTTCGCCCAAAGTGGAAATAGGGAATATCATCTAACCAGTTTAATCGTAAATCTGGAGTTAGTTCAACTGGAAAGAAAATTTTGATTTAGATCACAATCTGATAAGCTTTGATTTTTAAAAGAAAGAAATTACAGATCTCTATAAACATATTATACATTTAACATTATACTTTGATTTTTAAAAGAAAGAAATTACAGATCTCTATAAACATATTATACATTTAACTGTCTCTATATATACTACATACTGTAGACACTGCTTAATGTATTGCAGCTGATGTCGTGTATATTGCTATTGAATTTCTAAGTTCTGCTCTTTCATATATGGAAACATAAAAAATGCATCATTTGCTGTAATTTTATTTGCTCAATTTGGTTAATATAATCAAAATATTATACAATAAATTTCTTAAACTGAAGAACGAAAATGATTTTAATCAAGCATTTAGAAAAAAGCGCAAAACAATAAAATAAAAAAAAACTTAATTTCATACGAATTTTCAATAGCTATTGATTTGGAAGGGCTTCAGCACAGTTCCCTCTTCTTCAAAAGGGAGGTAAAAATTCCTGAAAACATCTTTGCCAAAATACACTTGCGTTTTTGCCCAATTTCAGATTTTACATTGGCAAAATCTCTTTAAACAAGGATGCCCTCCAAGTATTAAGATTATAGGTATAGAATTGGTCCAATAAATTTCAGAAACATTATGGACTACTCAAATGAACTTTTGCAATGAAGACTGTAAACAATTGATAAACAAACTTTTATTTTTCCTAATTAAAATGTTAAGAAAGTGGCTAGTTATATTTATAGTTAATTCAATTCCTATTTTAAAAGATACTTTTCTCATCATCTTATATTATCAAAAATGGGCAAATGTAATCACATTAAGCAGCACCTACTGCAAACATAGAGAGATATTAAAAGCATTAAACTATTATGTAAAAAAATTATGTCATTTTGTCTCATATTAAAATTATATATGCTAGGTAAAGTATAGAATGAGCTAGCTGCCTTACGCAAAAGGGATGCCTTTGAGAAGGTCTAATGGGAAACTGTCTTGTATTCACTTATATATAAGGAGAACAGGAAAATTCCCATGCAGCTAATCCATTCAACAGTATTTGTACCTTGATCAAACATCCAGTATTCAGCTATCTTATCTGCTAGTCCATTGGTGCTAAGAGTCAAAATAGACAGTAATGTGATTTTTACACACAAGATAAGTAGCATTCATTGACTAAAGAAATATATATATCACATCACTAAAGAAATATATATACATTTCAGAAAACTTTCCTGTTTTCTAAAATTCAATATCTTTATTATTATAACTTCCTGATATTTCAATGCATTATAATTTTATGGTGAACTATTACCTGAAAATAAAACAGAATATTTTTTGAATTGGTAGTGTTTATTATAAGGTTATTTTGAAACATGTTGTTAATGATAAAACTAAAGAATGGATTTTCTTTATAGACTATTAAATGATTATATTTCAAATCAACAGACTGCATTCATACACTAAAATAGGATGAAAAATATAGTAGTCATCGAGACAATTGTCGAGTTTCTCAAGAAACAACAATAAAAATTTTCAAATCTAACACGGTATATCTTGTTTAATGTTTAATATAGTACGGAATGTTTCGTGAAGCATCAGCTATTATTTAAAAAAAAAAAAAAAAAAAACATGCAATACCTGACAATGAAACCAAATAAAAATCAAACATAACGCTATTACACGTTATGCAACAAAATTAATGAATATGAACGTCTATAAACCCTTTTTTCAACTTGGACCGAATCTCGCAACATCAACTAGATCTTACGCAATAAAATTAATACAAATTAGTGCTGATAAGTTCTTTGGAACAAAATGGCCAAATATCAACTAAACAACCAAAGAAAGCATTTACATTCTAGAGGATTTTTATTTACTCATTACATCTTCAAAAATTACTTACTCTCTCTTTATCGAATGACTTTCCATAGTAGTAAACATATTTTGTTACAGTTTCTACTTCGTGTCTGCGAAGTATTTCTTTAAATTCGCTCCAAGATTTCGCAAAATTCATTTTGCCTCTAACACACAAAGGTTCATACACGAGACGGACTTTGAAACTCGTAATCGATAAACCGGCCATTCCCCTATCGTTGACACAAGTCTTTCTATCGATGGGAAAAGGAGACTCTAGGCCATCCGAAAAGCGGCGACCCTGAGGAGGCTTGGTAATGACTGGAAGTTTTTTCACACTAGGAAAAGGGCTAAAAAAATTGTTCAAAAAAAAATATAGAAAGAAAGGAAAAAAAGTAGAAAATATCCTAAAATACGATTGTGTCCATGAGTGTAGTTTAAAGGAGGAAAATTTGTCTTCATTTACAATAAATAGTGTCTCACAAGTGTGTGTGTGTGGTGAGTGTGTTTGGTAATGATGAATAGATGTGTTAGTGGGGGAGAAAAAAATATTGATTGCTTCGTATCAAGGTATTTAGCATGAAATACAAAGTAATATGTATGCTGAGTATGTGCAAAGTAATATGTATTGCATCCTGAGATATCAACAAAAGTCATCATACAAAGTATATGTTAATTTAACTAAAGTAAATTGTGCTATTTTAGTTCCCAACATTTTCATACATTTTTTTTTTTTTGCAAAAAAAACAGCAGCAGACAAACAAATAGAACCATATACAATACAAGACCACAACCGTACCACACACACACACAAAAAAAAAAAAAAAGAGATATAGATATATGTGTTGTGTGTGTAAATTACTGAGCATATGTATTAAAAAAAAAAAACACAAATTAAACATAAGTATTTATTAATTTATATATCATAATTTATTACAAGATTTATTATTTTACTATCATAATTTATTACTACTTAATTAATTAATTACACAATTAATTAGTAATTAATTACACAATGAGGCACACTGTTTGTTTATATAAGCTCATAGTTCTAAGAATTTATTTAAGGCAGTGAACGAATATTCCATCCTTTACATATGGACATTTAACAGATAGCAAGGAACAGTACGAGAGAAAAAAAATCGGTGAGGTATAATATTATTTAAAGGCAAAAAATATTTAAGCGATCTAAAAAAAAAAAGAAACCAAAGAGGATCCGAGAGGGAAGTAGCGCCATGCCCGTGAGTCTCCTCAATTTTCCCTCTCACGAGATTCCTCAAACAAGATAAGGGGGCTTTGTAAGTGGTGACAGACATGAACTGATAACGTTGGCGTCTGTTTCGGAATTGTTTAACAAAGGAAGCCACAGGCAATAATCAATTCATTTCAAGTATTTTTTAATGCTAAAAACTGATTAAAAGTTAAAATTTATTGATTTAAAGGCACTTATTTATAGAAATTTGATTTGAGTTTAGATGAAAGAAGGGTACTTATCTTAAAATTCCAGCCTTTCTTTGTACTTCCTCACATTGTCCGCTGTTTCATTCTCATCAATATCGCAACTGAAAAACTTTTGAAAACGTGTAGGTATTGTAGAAGAATCAGTATTTCAATGTAATTTAATTGATATTCCCCAAGGGTAAAGGAATTTTTTTTCACTTTTTTACGGAGCGCTGCGAACGTCCAGCCGCTTGCCTCGGTGATCGCCACTCCATCCTGATGTTGATGTATCTGCCATCAAAAGAGAATGTTATGGTTTCGAAATTGGGGTACTTAGTAGTATGAAAAATTTCCCTTATTAAAATTTTTCGTATGCATTGATTTTAAATGTTTCTTTTAAAACTTGTGTGAGTAAGGAAAGAATTACTTTGAATAAAAGTTTTGTGACTCAATCCATTTTACATCCGCGATAAATACTAATAATATTGTGGTATCTAAGTAAGATAAAACAGTACCGAGGCTGATATCGTGTACTTACTGTAAAGGGAAGAAACTTTTCTCTAGGAGGTGCATGAGAAATCATTTGAAAAAAGAAATATTTATTTAGAAAAATTTAATTTATATTAGAATTTAAAAAGAAATCATGCATATTTACAAACCAGAGGAATGCCATCTGTGTATAAGGTTTGTAAAGAGCCATTTAGACTAAAGCCTTCTTTAAACGAGTTTTCGGTTATTTACGCACAAGTGAAATCGTATGTGTGTTAGGTAATCAATCATTATTATTAAATTAATCATTATTAAATTGTGATTTAAACGACCATATGCTTATTCACGTACGCCAGACACCTCATATGTATGGCGTGTGTAGCAAGTCATTTACGCAAAAGGGTACTTTGAATGATCATATGCTTATTCACACAGGAGAGAAACCTCATGTTTGTGAGGTTTGTAAGAAGTCCTTTAGACTAAAGCACGATTTAAAGAGACATGCGTTTATTCACACAGGAGAGAAACCTCATGTGTGTAAGGTATGTAGCAAGTCATTTACACAAAAGAATAGTTTAAGTTACCATATGCGTATTCACACAGGTGAGAAACCTCATGTATGTGAAATATGTAAAATGTCATTTAAACGAAAGGATGAATTAAACAGGCATGTGTTTATTCACACAGGAGAGAAACCTCATGTGTGTGAGGTATGTAAGAGGTCATTCAGGCAAAAAAATAAATTAAACCAGCATATGTTTATTCACACAGGAGAGAAAGCTCATGTGTGTAAGGTATGTAAAAAGGCATTTATACAAAAGAATATTTTAAATGAGCATATGCTTAGCCATGCAGGGGAGAAACCTTATGTATGTGAGTTATGTAAAATATCATTTAGACAAAAAGATGATTTAAACCAGCACGAGTGTATTCGTACAAGAAGGAAATCTTATGTTTGTGAGGTATGTAACAAGGGATTTGCACAGAAAGACAATTTAAAGAAGCACATGCTTATTCACACTGGAGAAAAACCTCATGTGTGTGAGATATGTAAAAAGTCATTTAGACTAAAACCTGCATTAAATGAGCATTTGCTTATTCACACAGGCGAGAAACCTTATGCGTGCGAAGTATGTAACAAATCATTTAGAATAAAATTAGAGTTGAAGGTGCATATGCGTCTCCACACAGGAGAAAAGCCGTATTTGTGTGAACTATGTAAAAACTCATTTAGGCGAAAAGATAGATTAAGACATCATATGCTTGTTCATACAGGAGAGAAACCATATGTGTGTGAAGTATGTAATAAGTCTTTTAGACAAAAGCGTGATTTAAACATCCATATACTTATCCACACTGGGGAAAAACCTTATATGTGTGTAAAATGTGGCAAGTCATTTGCACAAAAGGGTCACTTAAACATACATGTGCTTACTCACTCAGAAGAGAAACCCTTTATGTGTGAAATATGTCGCAAATCATTTACACAAAAGGGTCACTTAAATATGCATATGCTTATTCATACGGGTGAGAAGCCTTATGTGTGTGAAATATGTAAAAAGTCATTTCGACGAAATGAAAAATTAAAGCAACATTTAATTCTTCACGCAAGAGAGAAATCTTGTATATAAAATATGTAATTAGTTGTTTAGGTAAGAAGGTGATTTAAATGAGTGTATGCTTATCTACACTAGGAAGGAGCTTCATTTGTATATGGTATACAGCAACCTATTCAGGCATAAGTTAAAAAAACATGCATATTTACATGGAAGAGGTATGTATTTAACAATCTCTTCCATTTCCAACTTCATCATGCATTTAACAACTTATTTATACAGTACAAAGTCTTTAATCCGGACTCGTCGGGACTTTGGCGATTCCGGATGCCATGCAGAAATTATAAAATTAAAAATATGAAACCGTTATTTATGAAATAAAGAGCAATTATGATCTAAAGGTATCAAAATTTACAAAAAAAAAGCGCTTGATATTTATTTGTTTACTTTATTAAACACTTCTTTCAACGCATGCATGCGTAAAGCATACATTACGCATATTCGAAATTAGAAAATTGCAACTAGAAAACTATTTGATGTGTATTTGGGATATTTATAATGACCAGGAATTTGATTTAAATCATATCAAAGACGGAGTACATCGAGATGAGTACTACATTTAGTAAGGAATTATAAGCCAAATAAAATAAAAACATCTGCCCTGAAGATGAGGATAGTGCTGACAGATCAACTTCCAGCTCATTGCGCGCTGTGACATCCCCCCCCCCCCCCCCCCCCGCAGAGCAGCGTGAAATTTATAAACAGATTTCATTTCGGAATGGTTAGAGAAACAAAGGATATGCCTTAATACATTTTTTGCAGCAATTAAACTTTTTGTTTGATAGACATCGAAATGTGTTTTCGCTTTGTAGCTCCAGAATAGGAAACTCTTTTTGATATAATCGAAAATTCAAGCTTACTTTTTATAAAATTGCTCTAATAGTCTGCAAAAAATAATAAGCTGGATCCAATTAGAAGATTAAGGAACAACACAATCTGCAACATTAACTGAAATAGATAATTAGATAATTTTAGTCTAGCTTATACCATCTGTTATACATTAAACAAACGTATTATGCACATGCGCAGAAAGTTTGTAGCTTTGAGGTTCGGATTATAGATCATTCCGGATTATGGACGTCAGGATTAAAGACTTTGTACTGTACTAAAACATCGTTTAAACAAGCATGTGTTTCCTCAGAAGAAGGGAAACCTGGTGGGTTATTTATATAGCAATTCATGTGCATGGGAAAGAAATATTCAAAAAAATATATGTTCATCTGCAGAAAAAGAAGCCTGATATCTTTTTAGCAGAGGTTAGAGTAATAAGAAAGAGCATTTCTGTGTTGTAAGGACTTTTCCATGTAGTAAAGAAATCTCATTATGTGAGGTGTGTATTTTGTAATTTGATTTAAATGCCTAAAAATATCGTATTTGTTTCTACAAGAGAGAAATCTTCATGCATGCTACATAAATAAGTCATTTTAAAAATGCCATGACCTAAAACATTTATTGCTTTAGGTCGCATTTCTTTAAAATGACTTTGTTCTGTAACATAAAGGAAAACCTAAAGTTGATGGGTCTAGGCCCAATTGAAAAGTTTTGAGATATAGTCTGGTATTTAGAATTATACACTACACTTTAAAACACTGAACTATGCTTTTAAGAGCATTTTGTGCTTAGAAAAATGGAAAATATATTTTTTGACATCCATTTAGTCCTGCAGATTAACATTTTTCACTTCTGTCAAAGCAGGCGGAAAAAAAAAAAAAGCCATAATTTTCTTTTAAATGTTAATGGATTAAAGACTTTCTACTGTATCAGCTTCCTGTCAGATTGTGTTATGTGGATCATTTTGGTGTTATCACCTACTTCTAAAATTCTGGAATGTGACATAGATCATATGATCTGGCACATTTCGTAAGTAATCTGTTTTCTTCACCATTTCCTATAAATAGTATGCTTTTATGCAATATAAATATTCCTTCCTTTAATACTCAAGGCATATAAACAGGTGTTCAAACACATAAATGCAGAACTTTCCATACAAGAATACCTATTAGAACAGAGACACAAATATGTTGAAACAGGCAGTATGTTTTTATGTATATATGTAAATATTTACAACAGCATTTTCTTATTTAGTGTTATCTGCAAGATATAGTTAATTTCACAAATACATGTGTGCTAATGTTACATTTTGTTCTTTTTCTTTGTACTTAACATGGGCAGAATATGATATTAAACAATTTCTTTTATAGGATAAAGTCTACTAGATAAACTGCTTAATTCTTTCCTGCTATTGGTTATATATACTAATTGATATTAAGGAAAAATACTGGAATACAATAACAAAAATTGTCAAAAAGAATACAAATATATATCAGAATATAAGTGCATGTAACAGAGGTATGTACAAATATTTATATCAGCATATAATTATGTGTTTTTAGTGCCAAATTGCATAAATATACATGATACAATACAAAGTTCTGCATCCAGACTCGTCGGGACTTCTGTGATTCCAGATTTGGGATTTTTCCAGATATCAGATCATCAATTTAAATCTAGTAAGATGGAATGTAGAAATAATAAAATAAAAAGTATGAAATTGAGATTTATGAAATAATGAAGCATTTATGATCTAAAGGGTATCAAAATTTAGGAAAAAAACTTTAAATTTATTTGTTTACTTTAATTAAACATTTCTTTCAAGTTGTTTAATATGCTTCATTTTTTGTGCTAATACTTTCTCTTTAATTCTGTAGACAGACGTAATTTCTTGTTCAGTTAGAAAGTTCCATTGTTGGAAGTCCTGTAATTGCTGTGTCTAGAATTTCGACTAACTTGTCAATCAAAATGTTTTTGTTTTCAGTAACGTCACTATCAGTAGCAGTATTTTCTGGATTTACAACAATACTACAGGTTTCACCATCAGTCGATTGATTGATGATTGAGGAGCATTGTCATCACAATGAAAAACTTCCTTTATATCATCTTCATTTATTACTGTTTCTCCACATTTCTTTACAAAATCTGTTAATTAGAAAATTTCACCTTTGGTTTCCGATATCCGAAAACCTTCAGATTCGCGGCTATAATCACAAAATTTAAATTATAGTGCACTGTATATATTTGGCTATGTATCATGAGATTGGCGACTAAAGACAAGTTGTTCTGCTAAATTTTATCTTGCTTCTATCGTGCACTAAGATAAGCCTGAAATTGTATTAGTTTAGTTAATTACAGTCAAATGTCGTTAATTTGGACCCATAATCCGGACCTCCAAGCTAAAAACTTTCTGCGCATGCGCCGCGTTGACACATGCGCATAAGACCTTTACGACTGCGCATAGGCATGTGCGCAAGTGCAGAATACGTTTTCGCGTGCGGGTTTAACATATAACGGACGGTATAAGCTAAAATTATCTAATTATCTATTTCAGTTAATATTGATGATTGCGTTGTTCCTTAATCTTCAAATTGGATGCGGCTTATTATTTTTTGCAGACTGTAAGAGAAATTTTATAAAAGTAAACTTGAACTTTCGATTATGTCAAATAGAATTTCCGATGCTGGAGCTCCCAAAGGATCTACAAAACGAAAGTGTGTTTCGATGGTCATCAAACAAAAAGTGGAATTGCTGCAAAAAATGGCTAAAGACATGAATAAGGTGACAGAGAGTTTAGTGAAAACGAAAAAATTTCGACTGACAAGTTAGTATTCTCGGCACAGCAATTACGGGACTTGAACAGCGGAACTTTGTAACTGAACAAGAAAGTATGTCTGTTTATAGAATTAAAGAGAAAGTATTATCACATAAAACGAAGCAACTTAAACAACTTACATTGAAAGAATGTTTAATAAAGTAAACAAATAAATATTAAGCTTTTTTTTTTTAAAAAAATTTTGATACCATTTAGATCATAATTGTTCTTTATTTCATAAATTACGGTTTCATATTTTTAATTTTAGAATTTTTGCATGCCATCATACGAGATTTAAACTGATGATCTATAATCCGAAAAAATCGATAATCCGGAATCGGCGAAGTCCCAACGAGTCCAGATTAACGACTTTTGACTGTATTATACTTACGCCTATTCCTTGCACAAGCTTAAGGCTTATCTGAGTCCTGAATAAATAAATTTCCGCATATACTTAAGGCTTATTCAGTGTTGGCAGTAGAAATCTTACCGCTTGATGAAGTCTTGCTACCAAGAACCTCCCTTTTGTCTTCCCTAAATTCTGCCACTCAGTGCGGCCGTACGAGCTCTGGCGCTAGTTCTGGATCTGAAAAACAAATCAGTTGTTCTTAATTCAAATAGTATTAAATGTAATCTTTTGGCCTATGAGTATCACTAACAAAATGTATTTTTATTATATGGAAAGAAATTATTGTTAAATTTTTCCTGTCAGCATTTTTCAGCGCATTTAACTTAAATCATCGCCAAGCATAATGTCAACATGAAAGGTTAGCATACTCTTTGTTATTCAATTACTAACATAAAAAAATTGGTTAGGTGTCACTACACGAGTCATTACTCAAGTTGTCATGTGTTGATAAACATGCGGTGATGAAAGCAATATATAATAAATACCGTATTTGACAGCATAAAAGACGCACTTTTTTTTCCCTAAATTTGGTCTCAAAAAAGTTACCCGCGTCTTATACGTGAAGGACACATTCTTATATGTGAAGGTAATTGCATTTAATAATTGTTTATTTGGCTTTTACGAAACGTGAGAACTAAAAGAAACCACGCTATTGAAACTTTTTTTCCTTGGGTGTGGCCGTCTAAATAAGGGTCGTCTTATATGTCAGTGCGTCTTATATGCCGTCAAATACGGTAATTATTCACCAGGTTGGTGTCAGGGATATAAAATATTCGTAGGCGTAAAATCAACTTTATATCTATGTAGAATGTTTCGGTTTGAGATGTATGCCAAGCACATACACAGGTACGGATCTAAATTATTGATATACAGATTAATGCTAAAATGATTGTTTCTTCAGTAACGAAGTATTTTATTTAGTGCCGAAGTAAAATTAGGAATCGGGACTCGCCACATGTTTTATTATGCACGAGTATTTTATTATAGTCCATTAGAATCAGTGTGCGCACTCGCAGGTTAACTGTAGCAGAATCTGCCTTAGGTAAGATTGACTTTTTCCACTTTCATTTATTGCTGGCAGCGAGTGTAAGTAGATAAAAAATGACAAGAATTATTGTTTTAAAGGAAACAATGGGTATTATTTCAGTGGGAATAAAAGGATTGATAATATGAATAAAAATAAGTGAAAGCCTTGAGATGCATTTCTAAGCAACATAATATAGTACAGTCAAAAGTCTTTAATCCGGGCTCGTCGAGACTTCACCGATTCCAGATTAGCGGTTTTTCCGGATTATAGATCATCAGTGTAAATCTGGTAAGATGATATGCAGAAATTATAAAATTAAAAATATGAAACCATAATTTATGAAGAGCAATTATGATCTAAAGGGTATCAAAATTTACAAAAAAAGCTTAATATTTATTTGTTTACTTTATTAAGCATGTCTTTCAACGCGTGCATGCGTAAAGCATACATTACGCGTAGTCGAAATTAGAAAATTGCAACCAGAAAACTATTTGATGTGTATTCATGATATTTATAATGATGAGGAATTTGATTTAAATCATATCAAAGATGGAGTACGTCGAGATGAAATAATACATTTAGTAAGGAATTATAAGTCGAATGAAATAAAAAACATCTGCCCTGAAGATGAGGATAGTGCTGACAGATCAACTTCCAGTTCATTGCATGCCGCGACATCATTGCCCCACGCAGAGTGGCGTGAAATTGATAAACAGATTTTGGAATGGTTACAGAAACAAAGGATATGCCGTAATCCATTTTTTTGCAGCAATTCAACTTTTTGTGTGATGGACATCGAAACATGCTTTCGCTTTGTAGATCCTTTGGCAGCTCCAGAATCGAAAATTCTTTTTGACATAATTGCTTACTTTTATAAAATTGCTTTTATAATATGCTTCAAGCTTACTTTTATAAAATTGCTCTAACAGTCTGCAAAAAATAATAAGCCATATCCAATTAAAACTTTAAGGAAAAACGCAATCTGCAACATTAACTGAAATAGATAATTAGATAATTTTAGTCTAGCTTATACCATCTGTTATACATTTAACGCGCATGCGTAAACTATTATGCGTGTGCGTAAAGGTATGATGCACATGCATAATCGCGCATACGCAGAAAGTTTGTAGTTTTGAGTGTATACGTCTGGATTAAAGGCTTTTGACTGTATACAGATACAGATATTAATGCGTACTAAACGCTAAATAGTTGCTTATGTTGAGATGTATGGGTAGTATGCTGAAATAACTGAGTAAAAGTAATAGAGCTATAATAAATAAATAATAATAATGTAAATGCATTAGTATGCATTTATATAATTTACAATATAGAGTTAATTAACATAATAGAGCTAGCTATATGTAAATATTTGCATTAGTATTCACATACGTAATTTAACAGTATAGAATTAATTGCAATTTTTTGAGTGTTTGAAACAAAAATACTTATAAAACTAGCTGGTACTATTCCGTTTTGAGAACCGTAAAAAATTGCTGTGAAAATGTATGCGCAAAAGCGCGAAATCTAGCAAACATGCTCATTTAACAGTGCGCCAAATCTAGCGTACGCGCTGATTTCAAATTGCGTATGTTTCGATAGTTCTATATTTCTTAAGACGAGTTTGAAATACTAGTTTAATTTTTAAATCGCTTTTTGATTTTAAGTCCTTTTTTGATATCCTATGGATGTAACAATTTGGGAATTGCCCATGACGAGAAGTCTGCAATAAAATTTTGGGGAAAGTGCAGAATCACTAACTGCTTGGTGCGTTTTTAAGAATTGCACATACTCGGCATCTATGTACACACCGACCTATTTTCACTTTCATATTATGTATCGCATAAGCATTGTTCGGGCAGCTGGCATAAAGCCAATTTTTGCAGCTTCAATCAAATTGTCTTTTAGAAATGCAAAGCAAGTTTCCAGAAAATTGGTTTCCAGTAACTCCGAGAATTGAGAGACTCGCATGAGCATGTACAGTGCATGTTGAACTAAAGAAAATACTTTTCCATTCTCTTATAAAAATCCCAGAATTGCACAAAAATAGCATTGCACATACCCTTGACTTTATCTATGTACACATAGACCTGTTTTCACTTGAAAAGTAAAACAAAATTGACAAAAATCCAATTATTTTTACCCTTGTAAAAAGCACCAAACAAATAAGTGGGCGATTCTGCACTTATTTATCCGAGAATTTTTTCAAAGAAAAGTCATCATTCATTATAGTAAAATTATGTTTAAACAACCAATGAGATGAAATTGTGCTTTAGCAATAACTCGGTAGCGAAATAGCGATGCAGACATCTATTCAGTTATGTTTAGCAATTTTTATATAAATTATAATAATGATCTGAAATAGTTCTTTACTCTTATGCTTCCATTCAGTTATGTTTAGCCTTTTTATATAAATTATAATAATAAAAAGTATTATATGAAATTAACCTTTCATCTAAATTAAAACAATAATCGTTAGATAGTTATTTACTATTATACTTCCTTTCTTGCATTAGGGTTGCCACAATTATTTTGGCAGCACTGGCATCAACAATAGTTTGGCGATTTTTTATGGTCCTCAAAACGAAATAGTACCAACTAGCTAAATATGTATTCCCATAAAGAACTACGGTACAGAGTCTGAGATACTGACTCGTGAGGACTTCAGCGATTCCAGATTTGGGATTTTTCCAGATATTAGACAGGGTTGCCACGTCACCTGGAAAGCCGGGAAAAGTCAGGGAATTTAAATATTTTAGTCAAAATCTGGAAATATCAGGGAATTTCATACGGCAATCCCCCAGAAAGTGAATTTTGCGTCAACTTTGGAAGCAATCACTTTCTCGGCAAATTATGTATTGCATAAGCATTGTTCGGGCAGCTGCCATAGAGCCAATTTTTGTAATACTTCAATAAAATTGTCTTTTAGAAACGCAAAGCAAGTTTCCAGGAAATTTGGTTTCCAGTAACCCCGAGAATCAAGAGACTCGCATGAGTGTGTACAGTGCATGTTGAACTAAAGAAAATACCTTCCCATTCTCTTATAAAACAAAATCGGTTTAATTCTAGTATACTGTATGTATGGGATTTGGCGACATTATAATGAGCAGTAAACAGCTATTTTGGTATATGTACCAGTTTTCAAAATCGCGCCAAAGCCATAATGTATACTAAGATTTTACCACAAAATCTTTTAAAGTTCTTTTTTTTCCTTTTTAATAAATGCCTTATTTGTCATTTTGTAGTGAAATAAAAAAATAGTAATCAGTCATCTAGGCTAACCATTTTAACAGAACTATATTCGCCAAAATGTTGTTGATTGTTGTAATTCAATTTTTAAGTAATTAACTTTATTTTAATGTTATTTGTATCATTTAATGTGGCTTCTTCCCTCTAAATTTATTTGTTATTAATTACTAATACTTTCAAATTTCAGGCAATTTTCTCAGCCATTAAATAGATTTCTTTTTTTCGTTTAGCTGCAAAATGTCTGCAAAAAAGACATTTTTTAATCCAGATTGGGCAGATTCTTATCTCAATCTTCAGTGGAGAAACCAACTCCCATTATAGTTATAATAATAATGCTTTTTATATATATATAGTCATATGTAATTGCCAAATTTTTGTGTTTTCGAATGGTACCATAGTTAATTTTCTTCTCAGCACAGCCAATACACACCACGTAAACAGAGTGGAATTTTCTTAAAATACAGTTGAAAACCTGGAAAAGTCTGGGAAGTTCATTCTCATGTTTGAATGGCAACCCTGATTGCATCATCTGTTTAAATCTACTGAAATGACATGTACAAATTGTAAAATTAAAAATATGACATAGTGCTTTATGTAGTAATGAAGCATTTATGATCTGAAGGGAAACAAAATTAATAAAAAAAAAGAGGTCAATATTTATTTGTTTGCTTTATTAAATGCTTATTTTAATGTAAATTGTTTTATTTGCTTTTTTTTTTTTTTTTTTCTAATACTCTGTCTTTAATTTTATAGGTAGATAAAATTTCTTGTTCCCTTACAAATTTCCATTGTTTAAGTCTTGTAATTGGTGCATTGAGAATTCCTACTGAATTGTCAGTTGAAATTTTTTCATCCTCAGTAATCTCTGGCCGCTATTGGTAACGATGTTTTCTGGATTTAAAACCATACTACAGATTTTGCTGTCCATCGTTTGTTGACTGAGGAATGGAGGATTGTCATTGCGATAGAAATCTTCTGTCATATCATCTTCAGTTATTACCACTTTTCCCTGTTTCTTCACAAATTCCATTAATTAGAAAATTTTGGCTTTTATTTTTGATATCCAAAAAACTTTCAAACGTGGCTGTTGGCGATGTATCCGGAGATTGGCAACTGAGGACATGTTGTTCCACCCAGTTTCACCTTGCCTTTATCATATGTTGATGAAATTAAGCTTGAATTATATTATTTATTATACTTGCAACTGATTCTCACGCATGCTTAAGTTGTAACTAAGTAACGAATAAATTAATTCCCATATATACTTAGAGTTGATCCAGAGCTAGCACTGACATTTTGTGGCCTGGTGCAGTCTCTGCAAGTCCGAAGTTCTGCTGCCAAGTACTTCCCGAATTTCTAAAAATTCTGCCGACTCTAAATTTTATGTCCCAGTGCCTTCCCTAAATTCTAAAGATTTTGGCTGCCCTAAATCTGTCAAACCAACTCTGGCTCCGGTCTTGAGTTTATTTTAATAGATCTGTCAATCTCACTTTAAGTAGCACTAAATATAATCTTTTGGCCTATGAGTATCATTTACTTATAGGCTGAAATTTATTTTTTGCATATGGATAAATTTTTGCTCGCCAGGTTGCTTAACATTTTACAGCAGAGTTAGCTTAAGTCTGTAAACATTGGCAAGCATATGTCAACATAAAATGTTACCGTGCTCTTCAGTATTCAATCTCTAATGTTCCAACATTTTTTAAAAATTGCTTTAGACATCACTGCCGGTAATGAAAGCAAAAAATAATAAATAATAATTGGCTAATTTGTTGTCAGTGTCGAATGATGTAGTCATTAGAGGCAGTTCCAGAATTTTCTGCTGCTCTTGATATCCAAATACATAATTACAAAAAATGTGAAAACTACATGTAGGGAAATAAATTAAAACTCTACATTTAATTTTGAAAAAAGAAAAAAATAATAATTACTGCATTTTAAAATTATATTGTTATTTTACGTGTTTCCTTGTTCGCAGAATCGCCAGTAACACTATAGAGGTCTGTTTGGTTGTTCTTGCTATTATCTAGACAGTAGAGAAAGATTCCTTAAAAACAAAATACTCATTTGTAGTTCTTAAACTTCTTAAATGATTTTTATTCAGAAAATACATCTCACAACTAGAAACGCAGCAACTGAGAGGACAATTTGTTCTAGTATTACAATATTTGGAACTTAGAATAAAATGTGGAAATTCAAAAGTATTTCTCTTCTATGTTCCTGTTTTCATTTTCTTAGCAATAATGGAAATAAAACTCTGAAGTACTTCTTTCTGAGTGAAAAATGGTACTCTTCTGTTATCAAGACCGGATTCAGAAATGTATGTATGTGTGTATATACATGCACATACATATATACATGCATGCATGAACACATCCATCCATGCATACATACATTTCTGAATATGGTTCCAGTAACAGAAGAGTACTTGAAAAAAATTCTTCCTTATTAATATTGCCATTATCAAAATTCTGTTGGCATTCCAATTTTGCGTTAAAAAGTTTTGACGGAATGAAAACATAAAGCAAATGTAGCTATTGAAATCACATTGTGACTTCTTTAAATATTTTATCTAGACTCAAAACTCTTTTTTTTTTCATAATTTAGTGGCAATTTAGAACCTAATTATTCTTCACCTGCCCTGACGACAAAACTAATTAAACATTATAAAATATTGTTTCGTGCAGAAAATGATGCCACTAAAAATGTGCAGCCCAGGAAAGTCCGCTCCTCTTTAGCTATGCCACTTTCAGTGCTTAAGTGAAATTTAAGAATCGGGATTCACCACACATTGTATTATGTGTAAAAAATATCAAATATGCAAGTGTAAAGCATTAAAAAAATTTCTAAAAAAAAGTTTCTAGTGATCAAAGGTTTTACATTTTAGATCATTCTGGATTTAGGACTTTGTACTGTACATAAACATGCATTTGTATCACATATGTAGTATTTTTTGCAATTTGCTTCAAAGAATGGACATGGAGGATTGATTATGTATGTATTTTGTTGCTTCATACATAATGTGAAAATGTGTATATGAGAAATATGTAAAAATGGTATAATTCCATTTTTTTGAGTAATACTGATCAGAGTTCACATTCTAAAATCACTGCATTAACATAATTGTATATTACTGTGAGGTTGATTTATCAGCCTAAACAAAAAACATACCCACTGAATCCAAGTATTAGGTTTATTTTAGGATTAGCATAAAGCTATATTGGATGAATTTGTAGAGATGAATCTAGTATGTTTTCGAAGATGGATTACAACATTAATTTCAGTATAGGTACTTTCTCATACATTGGTAAATGTTAATAGCAGACCACCTGCATGTAGTCAGTATATATCAGCCCATGTCTGATCACCTGTGCATGATCAGTAAAAATGTGCAGCCCAGGAAAGTCCGCTCCTCTGTAGCTATGCCACTTTCAGTGCTTAAGTGAAATTTAAGAATCGGGATTCACCACACATTGTATTATGTGTAAAAAATATCAAATATGCAAGTGTAAAGCATTAAAAAAATTTCTAAAAAAAAGTTTCTAGTGATCAAAGGTTTTACATTTTAGATGTTCCTTGCTGTAGCTTCTTCATGAGCATTCAAGTTAGAGCACTTCTCTGAGACTTCTAAAACCAACTCACTGGGTTTACCTGAAGGTCGCCGCTTTTTCGGATGGCCAAGAGTCTCCTTTCCCCATCGATGACGACTAGCTGATAGCTTTGCACTTTGTAATCGATTACGAAGTCTCGATACTCTGTTTACGTTTTAGGCGGAATTGTGGAAATTTTGCGGAACGGAAAAGGGCCTTCACCTTCATATTTTATTTTATTTATTTATTTTTTTGCGGTATACGAGACTGGGCGCAATGCGAATAAATCTGTATGATACACAGAAACTTGCTCATATTGCTGATACAATGATCAAGAGTATTGATATGTTTAGTTCATTTCTGTTGTTAAAATAAAAAACCGCAATTGTGCATGTAATGAGTGTAAACAATAATGAAAATTTAGATATGTCTGTATTGTTGACTAAGTAGTAATAATGCCTGATTGTAAAATATATATTAGACTACTGATTGTATATGTACGATTTAAAGTAATAATTACGTAGGGTAGAACACAGCAAAAGAATCACTGAATTTTTATTTATTTGAATGACCCATAATTTTTGTTTTGTTCATAGGGATATATCTTTTTTAGGTGATATATCTATTTTAATATATTGTGTACTTAATTGTGTGTGCATATATATACGAATAAACGGGCCTTAAAACTTGGGTTGATTTAGTAAAAAAATTGTGTGTTATTATAAACATTATAATACTATACCACACAAGCACTTTCTTATATATGTAATGTAATCTTAGAGAAATACCAACTGAATACTTCTTTGAATATCTATAATATTCTCTGACTGTGTTGTTTCATATACAATGATCAAGCAAAGACAGCGTTAAAATTTTGCTCCGAACAGCTGAGATGCGTGTCTTAAATTTTGTACTAAACAGCACAAACTTATGTCTGGAGGAAAGAAATTTATAAATTTTTGTTTTTGTCTACGATTTTCATTTCTCTACATCGAAAAATTATACTGGGGTGGGGGCACCACTTCACTTAACATTTGATTTCAAGTGGCATCTGATTTTATGTCAATAAAAATATGACAGTTCATCCTAATTTTAATCTCTTCTTTATTGTTAGCTTTTAAGAAATTTGCTTCTTATTTGCATTTTGTTCTCTTTCTGTCAGTAGATGATATTAAGGATTTGGTTTTTATTATTTAACCATACTCTCCAATTTCTTTCTGTTGCTTCTCATGTAGGCACATGTTTCTTTTTCATTCTTGCAGCAGATATTAAGATGTGTAGTGCTTCAAGTGAACTAATATTTTGTGGATTTTTGTTTGCTATTGATTTCTTTTTAAATTATAATCCTGCTTAGTGTTAAGATTTATGCGCTGTTTATATCTGGTAATTAATAATAAAAAAACTATGTATTTTTTCATCATTTTGTGTACATTTTAACCATACAATTATTTTTGTATGCGAATAAATTTGTATTTATTGACTTTTCTTTTTACACCCAATTATCCCTAAAGTATATATGCTATGCTGAATGCATTATTTCAGATTCAAAATGTATACACAGAGAGATGCATATCACACACTATGATGATAACAAAAGTGGTAATTTAATAACATTGACATCAAATATCACCTAAGACAACCACTTCCATAGAAAATTTTTTGTAGCAGCTGTGTCTGACTGTCTTACAGAAGTGTTTTGTGATTTAGAATTAACTCGCTGTAATACTGATGCAATTTAAGGTTACTAATATGTGCATTCAGCTGTTTTTCTTTATTAGTTCAAACAACCCATGTTATTGATCAAAAAGCAATACCTTATCGTTAGTCATATTATAAAAATTAAAAAATGGCTTTTGGAAATTTTCCTCCTTATGCAATGATTTCCAGTTTGGTAAAAAAGCTTTCATAAGTTGATCTTACTATGGGCACGTATTGAATTTTATTTAGTGTTAAAAATCATTTCTATGGTATATGTACATATTTTTACAGTTTTTAAAATACTTCAGAAATTCATTATCTCATGCCACAAGGCATGCATAAAATAAGCTTATTTCCTTGTACTATTATTAAGCTGTCCAGAAGAAGCCTTTTTTTGACAATGGATCACTGAAAGTTATGCTGTATCTTTCTGTTAATTAGAAAATAATTTTGGATAATAAAATAAATGTATTAGAAAAATATTATATTAAAATGATATTTTTAAAACACATAATTAAATTAATGTATTAGAAATCTGTAATTTAAAGCAAACCTTCGTTCTTCAACTACATATTCATTTCCGATACCCAAAGGCTAATTCCATCATAATAACTTGTATTTTAACTCGTCATTATTCAGCAAAACTTTTTGATTAAAAAATTCTGTATTCGTCCTTTGTGATAAAAGCCCAAGATACGAACCTCCACCATCTGCAAAATGCATGGCTCTCTTTGTACAGGATCTCTGTGGCTGTTACTGGAAGCCTAGAGTATGTTCAAGCAGTAGTAAATAGGCTTCCTTATTCTCTGTTTATTTAGTGTGTGATATATTTGTTTGTGTGTGTTTATTTGATAGTGTGTCTGTATAAATACTTTTGTCTGCCATTGGAAATAAAAATATATGCATTACAAATCCGAGTTATTAAGTATATTAAGGCTGTTTACATTTTTTCATTCCAAAACATATATTCAATTAAAATACATTATGCAATTTGTGTTCATCTACATTTGTTAATGTTTTTAATTAATGCCAACAGAAACATGTTCGCATAAATTCCTCTAAGTAATTTAAACATGAGGTTGTTTAAGAAGGCCATTTTTTTATCCATTCATTTATTGAAATATTTGCATTACTTCTTATATATTAAAATTTACATATATTATGTACTTTTTTCAGTAGACAATCCAAGAATATTCTATATGTTAAAATGTATGGGTATATGCAATAATTCCCCCCCCCCCAAAAAAAAAAAGAAAAAAAAAAAAAACTTATCCTCTATTTGTGATCTTATTATCTGATTGTGTCTTCTTCAAAATACACAAATAATCTGATGGAATGAAATATTTTTGGTCATTAAAACTTTTTAATCACTGCTCTTTACATCTACATTTCTTTTTTTCACATAATCTGAAGTTTTCGAGTAGTCTGAAGGTTTTCAAACTGTGTTTCACAGAAATTTTAGATACCATGCAACTCCTCTAGGGCATCTGTAAGTCAAAATTTAAAACAATTTTTAATATCACTGGACATCAAAATGAAATACTTGAAATAATCTTTGAAATTCTCTTATTATTGTTAAAAATATTAAGCAGATTTTTGTTTATGATTAAATTTATAATGAAATAATGAATTTTTTTTACTTTCTGCATAAAATGCACAAATTTTATATTTCAATTCTTTAACATTTATTTTTCTGAGGATAGAAATTCTTCTATAGAAAAAATTACGATTTTAGAAGTTTTTCTGAATTTAAAGATTTGAAGACAACCCTGTTATAAGGGTTTACGATTATAATGTGAATGACCCAAATAATTGTAAATGGCCTATGGCCATACTTAATACACATATTATTTAAATTGACATGCTTTATTGTACATTTTACCTGTAATGTACATTTGTGACTTATGTTATAATTTAAGTGCACCAGTTTACTCACACTTATCTGTATTGTATGTATATATTACATGCATCTCTAGACTCAGGTTAAAGCCAGCTCGTTTCCCCTTTCTCAGCAGTTTTTCCCAGATGACATTTTTGGGTCTTTACTGGAACTCGACGCACACTTTATTTCGGCTAGAATAACCACTTATCTCACTCTTCTTTTATTCAAAAATTATAACATACTAATTTGGGGGAAAAAAAATTATATTTTATGTTAGTTACTCATGACAACATTCGAAACAACCTACATGTTCGACAAGGGGTAGGGGTCTAGGAAAGCCACAACTTTTTCAATGAACTGGATGAATAAATGCAGCCCTGCCTTTTGTTGTGTTTTATGCATTTATAAATTTCTACCTGACTGTTTATTCTTTAATTCTATATAACACAATTAATCGATGCTTTTCTTGTATGGAATTTTAACATTAATTCTACATAATAACATGAGTAATCTTTTTTTTTTTAATTGTATTTTAGCATTATTAAAAAACACTTTGGCACTATGAACTGAGAATATCTGTCAATCTGTCTTCTACGTTAATTTACAATAATATAAATGTGAATATCTGAATGGAGTTATATTGAAAGATCTACTGGATGCTATGATTCCATGATGGTCAATCCACCACATTGGAAATATTAAATCAAACAATAAGTACAGGAAAAGATTCAGTAAGACAATATGTCATCTTTTGAATGGATACATTTGACTGGAGTTATTCCATATGATATATTATACAACACTCCAAAATCATGGTAAATAACTTTCTAAACCAAGTCTACCGAAAAAAAAGTAGTGGAAAAATGTTGCAGTCATGTAACTGGGCTATCTATATATAAAAATTACAGCAGTTTTACAAGTGTTCTTATCTTTACTGCCTATTACAATCAAATAAATACAATTAGATATGAGAAAGAACAGGCAGTATCAGTACAACCGAAGTACAACTTTTACACAGTTGATAATTTGAAAACAAGTTAACCTGTAAAATTACCCTGCCTACTGGATTGCTTTAGATGCATTTGGTAACAAATATGCCGTTAAAGTCTGTACCACATTCAGGAGTGAATTAAATACTATATTGTTCATATATCTTGATCGTAGCAATCAATGCAGCTGCAGCATTATTGAACAGAAATTTAAGTTATCGGGCTCTCAAATAAGTATTTGTAAAGGTGTTCAGGAAATAAATATTACTAAATAATAACATGTACTATGTTTATTGAATTTGTACAAAACTTATATGTTATACTTTGAATTATCGTCAATTTTAATTGTCTGAAATCTGGTATTTGATAGTATATAGTTGTAGCAGTTTTTTCACTATAAATTCTGAAGAATCCGAAAATAAATGCACATACTAAAGTATTTCAAGTATGATAATATTCAGTATTTAAGATTATCCTAAAAGTATGAAATTTATTATTTTATTTGAAAATAAGTATTAGTGTATCCATGGCATGCAGGTCCCCGAGATTACTCTATTATCCACTCATAGGTGGGGGTGTCACCTTTGCCAAAGGCTCTTTGTAGCCTGCTTTAGGTTTTATACTAATTTTAATTACTGGCCATCTACTGAAATGGTTTCTTTATGTATATCCACCTTTATTCCAACTCTGGTATTTCTACGGCGATGGAGGTTTAGTTGACCATACTTCTTGACAATTTTTCTTTAGTTTTTTTTTTTTTCAATTTGAAGCGGTAGACCAGTATTTTCATCTAGCATAACTGTTTTTGAAGCAGACTCGAAAATCTCCTTCAAAGAGTTGGCTACATTGTGTAAATTTTCGCTATCTAAATTCCAAAGGAGTGACCGAATTGATCTGTAATTTGCATCGCACTCATTGATCAAATTTCTTTTTTTACTCAATGTTGCTTCTTCAGATATGGTGGGTAAATTATCTGATGTTCCACCTGAAGGAGTTTCAGTTGATGAATATTTTCGTTTTCTGGTGCCTGAAATACTTCTTGAGACTAAATCTTCATCAACTTTGAAAATAGGTGTTGAAAATAGCCATTCTGCAGTACATTCCAAACTCCAGGCTGGAAACTTCATGCCAGCAAACACAATATGCTTGCACAGCAGTCGGTTTCTTCTGAAATCTAAGCATGTGCATTGACACAGTTGTTTCTGTTCATCAAACGTGACAGAATAAACTGCATCATGCTTAGTTTCAGAAGAAACTTTAAAGAAGCCATGTGAAATTTTTTTTATACTACCCACATAAACTTCAGCAGCTCTTAATTTTGTTTTTATGTGATCAATTAACCATTTTGGCTTATTGATTAAATAATTTTGGTACACTGTTCATTGTATAATCTGGACTGCAACAGCATACTCAGATTTTTTCTGACATATATTCTATATCTTTCTGGAAGAAATTTCTCGACCAAGACCTTAATTATTTTGGAAAGCATACAGTTTTTATATCCCTGAAGATACCTATATTTAAGCTCCATTCAAGCTTTCAACACCATTGTTCGAGTTTATGAATAAATCATTTGGTTTGTAAGCCAAAGCCCACCTCTCAATTTCTTTGAACTATGTTAATTCAAAATAATCTTACACAGCTTCATACGGGTTCCATGATTTTAATACCTGTATTGCTGCAACCATTTCATCTTGAGTTGGAGCATTTGCTATGGCACGTAATTTACACAAAAGCTTCTCTTTGGGAACCACTGCATTCATTTTCTTAGAAGCCCACCTTCACCATGCCTGCTCTCGATGGAAACTACATATAAAAAACCTTAATTCCTGTAAAGACATTTTCCAAACTTGTAATTTCTTCCATTGCAAAATCAACCATCCCATATTTTGGTCTAACGAGAGGCGACCAATTTTTAATAATTATAAGAGCTTCTTCTAATAATGCTTTGGCTGTTTCATTTTGTGTAATTATTATGCTCACTATTTGATAGTTCACATTTGTTTTGACAACTAAAAAATAAAGTGGGAGAGCATACTTACAGGTTCGATAGGTCGCGTCGAGAAGAACAAGATTAGAACCATATAAGACATATAAATTTTCATTTCTTTTTGCTTTGAACTTTGATATACAAATAGCAGATTTAGTTTTGAATCTGTAAAGTCATTTGGCTCAGTACCATCATATGTATTTTCAGTACATGGTCTAAAAAAAAAACAGAACACTTGGAAGTATCCCAGCTATTTATTAACATTTCTGTATTTTCCTGGTCAATTTTACTAGTTCTAATATCGGATTTTGCTTGGCTTATTATTTTCCATTTTCTTGACTTATTGCCTCCATTTCTGGATAAAATCGTCTGCTGTGCGTTTTATCAGTTTTCTCCCAATTCAGTTGAAACGTATACTTCTAATAGCTCTGCAATTACAGTGGCATTGCATTTTCCATTCTTAACTTTAGAAGCTATGAAATGCCGCACTCTAGCATCTATAGGTTCTATTACTGCAGCCATGTTACCCATTAGATGATTTTGATGATCTTGGCTATTAGGTAAATTAAACATGAAAACTTCTTCACCAGCAATACTATCTTTATTGGCTAGTTTTTCCTTAATTTTCCGAGATATCATAATCTTTCTTTTCGGGTTGGCACTACCTGTAATTTAACATATTTATCACAGTAAAATTTAGAAATTCCAGCACAGTCATCTAAAACTAATTATTGATAAAGGTTCAATTTTAAAAACTTTCTGTTCATAGCAAATTATTCAAAAAAAAAAAAAAAAAAAAAAAAAAGAGGAGTCATTTCTTTCCTTTAAAAAAAGCTGTAAAAAGGATCTTCCATTTTTATAACAATAGATCAAATTACTTCTTCAAAGAAACATAACCAATAAAACTTCACTTTGAACAACTTATTTCTATTTGTAGCAAATTGGTTAGAATATAATTAGCATAAAAAGCCTTTATTTCTGGCCTGAAAACATCATTTTATTTGCATGTCAATTACTGAATTATTTATTTAGGAAAATATTACTGTTAAAAACCCTCTTTTGGCCCAAAAAAAAAAAAAAAAAAAAAAAAAACTATTTAGAAAAATATGTTGAATAAAGAGACACAAAAAATCATTTCTCTTTTTACATTGTGACTCTAAAAATACCTTTTGTTTTTATGTCAAAAAGTATGTATACTTTATCATAGAATACCTTCAATACATCTTGCTCATACGTGACAGAATTATATTTTTTCCTTAAAAAAAAATTCTCTAAAATTACTAAGACCATCTTAGAACAAAAAGTTAAATAAAACTTCTACCTGAACTGAGGCATCCTGTACATTCGGGTAACATTAATTACAGCTGGACAATTAACTTTTTTAGTTGTCTGGTTCTTGGAATATGCTTTACCAAAAGCATGATCAGTTTGACACTAAAAGAAAAAAAAAAAAAAACACACACACACACACACATATATATATAATCCAAGAGGTGATATTTTTGTATAAATTTTTAAATATAACAATGTTATTTTACCTTTTCATTTTTTTCTTTAGCATAATTTTCCTTTTGACGTTTATTCAGATCTTTTCCTTGATGGCAAACATAGGTTTTTCGCCCAAAGTGAAATAGGGAATATCATCTAACCAGTTTAATCGTAAATCTGGAGTTAGTTCAACTGGAAAGAAAAATTTTGATTTAGATCACAATCTGATAAGCTTTGATTTTAAAAAAGAAAGAAATTACAGATCTCTATAAACATAATATACATTTAACTGTCTCTATATATACTACATACTGTAGACACTGCTTAATGTATTGCAGCTGATGTCGTGTATATTGCTATTGAATTTCTAAGTTCTGCTCTTTCATATATGGAAACATAAAAAATGCATCATTTGCTGTAATTTTATTTGCTCAATTTGGTTAATATAATCAAAATATTATACAATAAATTTCTTAAAACTGAAGAACGAAAAATGATTTTAATCAAGCATTTAGAAAAAAAAGCGCAAAACAATAAAATAAAAAAAAAAAACTTAATTTCATACGAAAATTTCAATAGCTATTGATTTGGAAGGGCTTCAGCACAGTTCCCTCTTCTTCAAAAGGGAGGTAAAAATTCCTGAAAACATCTTTGCCAAAATACACTTGCGTTTTTGCCCAATTTCAGATTTTACATTGGCAAAATCTCTTTAAACAAGGATGCCCTCCAAGTATTAAGATTATAGGTATAGAATTGGTCCAATAAATTTCAGAAACATTATGGACTACTCAAATGAACTTTTGCAATGAAGACTGTAAACAATTGATAAACAAACTTTTATTTTTCCTAATTAAAATGTTAAGAAAGTGGCTAGTTATATTTATAGTTAATTCAATTCCTTCCTATTTTAAAAGATACTTTTCTCTCATCATCTTATATTATCAAAAATGGGCAAATGTAATCACATTAAGCAGCACCTACTGCAAACATAGAGAGATATTAAAAGCATTAAACTATTATGTAAAAATATGTCATTTTGTCTCATATTAAAATTATATATGCTAGGTAAAGTATAGAATGAGCTAGCTGCCTTACGCAAAAGGGATGCCTTTGAGAAGGTCTAATGGGAAACTGTCTTGTATTCACTTATATATAAGGAGAACAGGAAAATTCCCATGCAGCTAATCCATTCAACAGTATTTGTACCTTGATCAAACATCCAGTACTTCAGCTATCTTATCTGCTAGTCCATTGGTGCTAAGAGTCAAAATAGACAGTAATGTGATTTTACACACAGATAAGTAGCATTCATTGACTAAAGAATATATATATCACATCACTAAAGAAATATAATACATTTCAGAAAACTTTCCTGTTTTTTAAATTAATATCGTTATATTATAACTTCCTGATATTTCAATGCATTATAATTTTATGGTGAACTTTACCGAAAATAAAACAGAATATTTTTTGAATTGGTAGTTTTATTATAGGGTTATTTTGAAACATGTTGTTAATGATAAAACTAAAGAATGGATTTTCTTTATAGACTATTAAATGATTATATTTCAAATCAACAGACTGCATTCTACAATAAAATAGGATGAAAAATACAGTAGTCATCGAGACAATTGTGAGTTTCTCAAGAAAAAACAATAAAATTTTCAAATCTAACACGGTATATCTTGTTTAATGTTTAATATAGTACGGATGTTCCTGAAGCATCAGCTATTTAAAAAAAAAAAAAAAAAAAAAAACATGCAATACCTGACAATAAACCAATAAAAATCAACAGACGCGATTACACGTATGCAACAAAATTAAGAATATGAACGTCTATAAACCCTTTTTTTCAACTTGGACCGAATCTCGCAACATCAACTAGATCTTACGCAATAAAATTAATACAAATTAGTGCTGATAAGGCTTGGAACAAAAGGCCAAATATCAACTAAACACAAAGAAAGCATTTACA